TTTTGTGGCTTGTTATATAGTGCTTGCTCAGCGAGAAAATTATTTCCCAGTCCTGTGCAGAGCAGAGGCTGGGCTTTTCCCGCTTAATGAGAAGCTGTTAAGAGACAGGCTGGCTGATCCGTAACTTCTGATCATGAATAAACGCACAGTGAGAGACCACCATAACAAACACTGGTGCAGATGGGATACTTCTGTCTCAGGTGGCCTCTGGGGAGCAAGGGGAGAGGAATCTTTTCCCTGCATAGGCCGATACAAAACAGATGACTAATGCCTGGAAAGTAATAAAGGCAGGGACAGAAGCATCAGGGGATTTGGATATATTTTACTTGCTCACAGTTTTCACCTCTAGGTTTGCTACTGCATCTCTCAGCTAAAAGCACGGCTGCTCTTGTGAGGATACATGTACACCTGATGGTCACATTCTGAAATACCATCTCCAGGGAGCATGGCTGAGCCCATCAACACCAGACTGGCTGGGGCCACCAGGCCCTGTGCTGGGTTAATGCCCAAAGGAGAGCTGGTTATCCAGATGTGGCTGCAAAAGGGAACACCTCACCATGTGCTTACTTCAGCTATGCCTCGGAGAAGTTACACATATACAGCTTTGGATATTCACAAACCCCACGTCTTTGACTGATATCAACCCCAGTTTTCATTAACAAATAGTTAAGTCCTGTGATTCCAAAGAAACATTTAAATACACAAATAAATTTATTAAATCCTTAAGACAGCTTTTATGGGAAAAAGAAGTAACTGGTAACAGAAACAAGAAAGAAACCTTTATGGCTCCAACTATAACCAACACAGTTTTTATTTTCATTCCTCCCAGCTTGAATGCTACACCTCCCCATATTTCATATATGCCTTCTTCAGAAATAAGATGTGTATCATGTTTAGTACTCACATACACTATACAGTTCTCCTTCCATCACAGGGAAAATATACAAGAGCACACGTACCCATCCATGCTCTACATTTTGTACAAGTTCATCCTGTATACAACTCCAGAATGGCAGCAAAAATATAACCTAGCACAGAATGGGACTCTAATTTGGAAAATGCAGTGACCACTTTGACAGCCATAACGCATTGAGTTGCATTGGTAGGAACGCAGGTCACAAAATGGCAGGGCATACAGGACCATGACATTACAGTGCATTCACCTAATGTGCCAATGCTGCTGCTAGTCTGGTGTTTGATGCTTTTCATCCATCCAAGCAGACACATCTCTCCATTCCACTAAGCATTTTACTAGCCCTTCCACATTCTAATTAAACATTTGTTTCTATGAACATTCTCAGTGGCTGTCTTGTATCTGGGCCTACACTGAATGGAACAGGTTTTCCTATTAGACTTTTGATATGAATTGTAATGACAGTGCTTACAGGTCTGCAAGCATCACTGAACAAACTGGACTGTGGTCTTTTTTGCTTTTTGGCCAGATACTTACTGAAGTTGTATATATTAAAAAAAAACAAAACAAAATCCAAATGCTAAAATTTTCTTTTATTGTGGTTTAAGTGGTTTTAAGTGCTGTTGCTTGTGTTTTGAATGACAAATGTATAGAGAACATAGCTAAATTGGGCAATTTAGTCTGTAAATTATAAGCTTAGGTCACATGACATTTGTTGGCTGACTGTTCCAAAGATCATATTGCAAAGCTCCATTTGCTCACTGTGCACCTTCTTCATATATGAAACTTTTAAAACTGGGATGAAAGCTACACTGTGCAAATTTAGCTACAGGGATTCTGTTGCCCTTGGCAAATGGCAAATATCCAACCCCAAAACCTTCAATCTACTGTGAAAATATTTACTTAACAGTTTTCTACCCCAAACAGACTTATATTGTATTTTTATTGCATCTACCTCTTCTGTTGGTAACAAATAACATTCAGGACATCAAGGCTATAGTACCTTACTTCTGAGGGTATTAATTCACAAATACTAAATGCTAAGTCTCAGAAATGCTAAGGGAAGTATTTAAAAAGTAGACAATGTAGAGAGAATTTCTGTTTTGACTCAGGACTAACTCTTTCGGTGTGAAGAGGTTTCAGCAAACTATTCCTGAGGTAAGGATAAAATTTCATAAAACTACAGGACTGTGTGTGTAGGACACAGCTGTACATTAGAAGAAGGTTCCATATCTAAGTCTGCCATTAATCTCCTGTTGACTTTACTGAGTGAATTATTTCCTCTACTATCTTACAAGTTAGGTTGCAAGCTTTTGAAGGACTATTATTCAGTAGAGGATACATCTTCCATGTGCTGCAGTGGGGGTCTTCAGCCCTAGTCAAGTGATATCCTTTCCTTGGCTGTATGAACCTGTAACTTTCCAAAGTCATCTACACCGTTTAATAATATGACACTGAGCTCTTTATAGTACAGAAATCAGAGTCTTTCTAAGAATCCATCTGTTGACTCCTTGTCTTCTTTTTCATTCTCATCTCTTTTTCTGGTCAGTAGGAAGGGGAAGAAGAAGGGGGGGCATGGGAACAGCAGAATGCAGAACTATCTTGCCAGACCTCTTGTGTTTGACATCCACAGAAAAAAAAAGAAAAGAACTGTGAAGTGGCTGGCAGTAGACTCAACCTCAAACCTATAAAGTTAACACAGTTTCCAACATCTGGATTTACCTGCCTATACTTGGATTTACCTGCCTATACTATTAACAGGTTACTGAGTGGTATGGATTTGAGGGGGGGCTTTCATACTGATCTTTATTAATGTGAGGAAATGCAGTAAGTCACAGTAGAACTTACAGTTTTATACAGTACAAGGTACAGCTGGACAAAGGTGTAAGTCTGGGGCTCCAGCTGCTAGCACAGCATCAACACTCAGTAAAACAAGCACTGTGATACACAGAAAACGGGTGAGATTAAAAAAAAAAAAAAAAAAATAGGAAGAAAAGGCAGATTTCAAGGACCAAAACATTACTGTTATGTCAGGCATGACACTAACAGCTAGCATATATTCCGAATTTTAAAAGTACCTAAATTCCATCTGGGGATCTGGGAAGGCTTTGTAACTTAATGTGAAAGCAATGTGAATCCTGCCAGCTTCACTGACTCATGCATCTTGACTTGTCTGAACTCAGAACAGTTTATGCTGCTGACCTTTAGTTAAGCAGGATTTTACCTCTCATGTACTGTTTTCCTCTTTCTTATGTTGGCATAAGCCTCTCTGGAAAAAAGTGACATCCCCAAATGAAGGATTGCCAAGTGGTTCACCTGTTTTTCTCATTTAAACAGTAGTGCTTTCTCACATATTCAACCAAACAGGAAAAGTATCTCCACCTGACCAACTTACTTGTGCCTAGCAGTCTCAATTTTGCCAGACTTTTTGTTTGTTGAATGAGTGGGCTGAATATATTGATAGTAGTGTAGTGTTTACTCTCTGTTCTAAAATCATGGAGAATACCTCACAGTAGGATATGGGATATGGCTTTCCAGGGTGTCCGTGTGAAATATCTGTTATCCAGTTATTGCAAAAAAAACAAATTGCCCTTTAGATTTTTTTTAACGAACTCACATTCAAGTTCTACCTCTCAAAGAAAATGTTGATCACAGCACACATGTATTATAAAGAAATGCAAGCTAAAATTTATTATGCATAAGCACAGAAGAAAAAGCCAAATACCTGACACTGATTTTTTATTGATTTTTTTGTAAAACACATTCTATGGAAAAATAGATAAGAGCATCACTAATAATTTATAATAGCCCTGTTCAGAGACAGCACAAATTGCCAAACACAACTACAAAGAGAATATTGCACATGGGAGACATCCTATGCTCACTGCAAGACATTGCCAGCAAGGCATCAGAAACAATATATAATTATAGAGATCATTGCTCAAGTCAGTTCGATGTGCCACTTATTTCAAAGGCTGTAATCTAATTAATTCAAGCAGTATCATATAATGATACAATATCGGTACTGCAACATTAATCATTACATTGATAGAACAGGATGAACAACCAAGAAATCAAAAACTTGTGTATTAGGAGATGCAGTGTCTGAAAGGAACTATGCATATGCATCCACTACCACTGAATATATGAAAATACTATACTGAAAAACTCTATCTAATCTTTATGCACCTGATACATTTAACTTTCAGAGGAAACCTTCAAAGAGGAAAGCTGTTTCCTAACTATATTCATAACTGTGAAATTTTATAGCCACTTGGGAACTCAGTGGCTCATATTAAGAATTTCCCTTAGTGCTAGTTGGGCAGCATGTATAGCTAATAACATATAGACACAAACAGACAGACACGGTATTTTATAGGTAAGTAATGCCAAATAAAAATACAAATGTACTTGCTCATGTTAGCACATCATATAATGCATAATGTTGGAACAGAAAGTTAAATGTGGCACCAATTCACAGTAATCATTACCACAAGCTAGACAGGCAAAGAACTTGCAAAACAATTACAAAATAATTAATATCTAAATAATTCAAGAACATGGGTACTTAATTAACTTGTATATAGTTGCCACAGTTAATAAAATTTCAAGATAAAATTAAACACACATATGGAACCTGTAATAGAACTGTATCTTAGACAATGTTAAGAAAGAATACCTTAATATCCATAGAAAAAATAACCTGTTGCTAAATACATACAGATCTCAATTTTCTAAGATGATGTATAGTTCTGTATTACATATTAAGCACTACTTTTTTTTTTACTGAACCGTAATGAAAAGAAATTAAGCTTATTTCATTATTCATTTTTCATTAGGCAGTAAGCAATTTATATAAAGCTACACAAAAATAGCAGGCTGTTCCTCAAAATATGTACTTATTCTCCTAAGTAACTAAGAAGACATGTAAATTAATTTAGTTGTTTATATTCAGGCAATCGAAAATAAACTTTAAGCCTCAAGTCTTTTTCCAATGACAAGTCTGAATGTGAGTCTTCTATAGAAATGAATAAAGATTCCTTACGTGACTAAACATATGCATGATATGATACATAATGTGTAATAAACAGTGTCTTGTTAGAGTGAATTGGTCCTTATAGACTACAAAATATTAAATCACAAGTCAACTTGTTATTCCAGTTAGCAGGAAATAGATGGCCTAGCAGGAAACCACGTCTTATTGAAGCACAAATATTTCACAGAATGCCTTTATATATCTGAGCTAAAAATATCATCTATTTATTAATACTTCACTATTTCAACCTTTCAAGTAACATATAAAATCAAAACACATTTTTAACTTTCTACACACACAGTTTGAAAAAAAGAAGCAACACATACTTATCCTTTCCAGACACCTTTGGCAGTTCAAAATTTAACACTTTAAACACTCATGAAGAAACTTAATGATGAAATAACTTTTTGCATAGGCTAGAGGGCCAATACATATCTGTATATACTGTCAGTGGTTGCATTACAGTACAATATATATTGACTTTGACAGGAATTTTTAATTACTACCGTATCTTAGTTCTGTAACATTATCGCTATTACATCAAATGAATTAGGTAATTGTAGGGAACAGCAGTGTTTATTGCCTATTCTACAGAAGTGTAGAGTTACTACAAAATAATAGCAGCATATTTAATTTTGAAATGTCATCAGATTCTCAACAGCAATGGTTTCTGCCTTAAATTTGTTCAGTAGTATGAAATTCTGCTCGTAGTTATACCATCCCATTCTAGTGATTTTAATCAAGTTTTGGGCACAGGACTGGGGTAGATGCAGCATGGTATTTATCCCATTATAATTCTCCATGACTTTGTGTATTTTGAGATTTTTTAAATTAATCTTATTTAAAGAATTGAAGCACAAATGCTTAAGCTATATGTGGTTTCCCTTTGCAATAATGGAATAGGAAACGGGTCAGGAAATTCAGTTACATATAATTCTGCAAGCTTTTCAAGAACTGTACAGCCTCCTGTATTGGAATGGCAAAATAGAGGCAAAGTAAGTTAGACGTTTTAATTATCTCTTGCCTCTTGATTTGCAGCAATCCCAGAATACACACAGATTCAATGTGTAAGTTTGGGGAATATGAATACTACAATGAAAATAAAATTCTTGTAGATTTTTTGAATTTGGAACAGCATGATCTCTTTAGATTTAGGTTGCCATAACCATGGACAAAGTTTGAATCTCGATTCTTATTCTGTGGAGCTGTTGGTTTCATTACAGAGATAGTAAGATTTACAGGACTAGTGATTTTTAAGGAGAAATTCAAGTTTAAGTACTGTATATTTCTGATGTATTCTACTGATGACAAATTCTTGCAAAGTAATAAATAATAAGTGAAGGTCCAGCTAAGAAAGTCAGAGATCAAAGATCCTAGACAGTGCAAATATAGATAAGAAAAATATAATTTCATACAAGTAAAAAAATTAGGACCACATTCTGACTCACTGAAATAGAGGTTTTGCTAATGAAGCAGAGGCAGCCTGACAGTATGCGTTGAGTTTGGCTATTTTGTTAGAGGAGAGTAGAACCTGACAAAGCAGTAGTAATAAGTAATTGTGAACATTCTTTTGAATCTCACAGGAAATGCAAATGACAAATTTTAGAGATAAATTCATTTTTAAGTATAAGAATAATAATTTGTTTCTCAAAAATTCAGGCATATCCCAGAGACACTTGTAAAAGTAAGGCTTTCATATAAAAATAGAAGATTGAATTTGCACAAAAAGATATTAAGAATTTAAGACAGACTCTGGGAAATTCATATGTAATAACTGAAACAGCAGTGTAAAAACATATAGAACATGAACATTGTGATACTTCCCTGTTGTACCAACGTATTGGAAGTTTCACAGTGAAAATGGATTTTTATTGTAGATTTCTCAGCTTTTTTTTAACATTTTAAAATATTTCCTGATATTTTGAAATAATTCTAAAATAAAAAAATTAGTTGCTTGCATACATACCTGCATGTCTTTCTATACAACACTATTTTGAATTTTCATTATATGATGTATGGAAATAAACAGATGCCAAAGGTCTAAAATCTTATGTAATACTTTGGAAAAAACAACCCTGTTAGTACAATACTATTTGCTTATAAGATGTACAATTACACCATAATTGAAAGTGGTTTTGCATATTCAACTTCTGAAATGGTGTAAAACCACACACAAATAGATATATACTGTACATGTGCAATACATCATTAAAAATTAATTTGCTTCAAAACTTGATTATTTCCTAAATTATTAACTTTATTAGTCTATATTCTGAACTCACTAACCCAGGAGTGTTATTTTAATAAAATAAACACTACCCAGAAAATGTGCCATTAATAAATAGCACTCTGACACATATGCTCTAAGTCAAATATCTGGAAAGCATGGTTATAATAAAATACTGTTGTGATAAAACTGTGCAAAGGAATATTAAAAATTCTGATTTCATAATAATCTGGCCTCTGTAACTCAAAACAAAAATACTTTTGTAGCTATATGAAGTAGTAGTGTTCTAGTTACAGATTTCTCATAGTTTGGTTGAGAGCTTGTACTGTACACCAAGCAAGTCCACAATGACTTTACTCATACTTTAACTCAACTCCTACAAATACAAGTTTATGAAAAAAAAACCTCCAAACCCAAACATCTACAACAGTGCTAACAGATACTGATTTATCATCACATCACAGTTATCCTTTCTGGGGAGAGATGTGGAGCAGACCCACTTGCTTCTTCTATAACATAGCTTTTCTCCCATCCTCTTCGAATTCTCCTCAGTTTCCTACTTACACAAGGCAAAAGTAAAATGATCTTACCTAGAATTACAATGGAAGGCAGAACAAGGGCAAGAACAAAATTTGGTGGTGTATAAAATCTGTAATATTCTCCTTCAAAAGCTCTTTTCCATCCGTAAATCAGTACATGGAAAGTACTTATGAGCAGAGCGACGTATCCAAGTGTAGACTTTGATAAAAGAGAAAACAGGGGAAAAAGAAGAGATAATGGTACTTGGTCCTGACAGCTCTAACCCATTATTTTAACACTTCTATTAGACATCGTGTTAAAATCTCTTACCTATACACTATTTTAAATGGGCAGTGTGTGGTTTAAAGTTATCGTTCTGAAAACTATGGGTTGAACTGAGCACTGATTTACAACATGTCTCTGCTAGCATCTGTAGGACTTAATCAAAGTTGAAATGAATATGTTTGCCCAAATTCTAAGTAGTGGAAGTCAACCTCAGGATATGTATGTGAATAAGGAACAATGCCAGTGAAGTTACTGGAACTACAGTTCCCCATTTCTTAAGTACAAGGGTAGATCACTTCCAAGATTTGTGATTATGGAACAATGCAATTCTCCTGAAGGAAATCTGAGCCTAACAGTCCAGATTTTTATCAGTGAGAGGTGCAGTTTGCTTCTTTCTCACAATGGCCTACATCCATTTGCCTGAAGTTAACGTAAATATCCTCACCTCTTGCCATCAGCTGTTGTCTGGTTAATGGGAATACCTGGACTGCCCGACTTGGGCATATGGCACGACAAAATGATGCAGTTAGTTTGTCATAAACAGGTAGTGCCTGATGGAGTGTGATTTAGAAGGTTCCCACAGCACCCTGTATAGGACCTCTTATATAATCCAGAGCATGCCACAGAAGGCAGTGTTAATAGGGGTCATTTGCCATTTCTATGAATCTGCCCTTTTGAGAATCCTGTAGCTGTGCTGTTCTGCAGACTCAAGTTAAATGTACTAACCTTCACTTTTCCAAACTATGGTAAAAAAAAAAAAAAAAACCAACCAAAAAAACCTACTATGCTTTGAATTCTGATGGTGATCAAATGAAGAAAACCTCTTTTTGGCCAAAACTGATGTAATGACTAACTTGGTTGAAAAACATTTGTAGAAAATTACAGAAACAGAACGGATATTAAGAAAGGTAACTGGCTACCAAGGTTTGGTTTCATTCCAGCAAACAGAGAGGCCAATTAAAATTCATCCTAAGGGTCTATTATAGTCAGTGAAAGAATTCTTTCTACTTCAAGATGAATCAATTTCTAGTAAGAGAAGAATGCCTGAGCTAATACTGCTTGCAAGGATTCAAGGATATAATGGTAGGAAAAAGAAAATACTTTTGATTTTTAGAGGTTGGTACCATGGTTTTTTTTCAACTTGCCAATACTCATGCACTTTTTTGCCAGGGCTTTCAAAGCCATGTTGGTACGTCTTAGGTATGCTGCAACCTTTTTTTTAAAAAAGAAAAATCTGCTCCCAAAATGTCCTATAAGAAACAGAACAATCAGACAACCACTTGTGGATATGAAAATTACATACTCAGTATCTAAACAGAACTTATGCTAAGAAATTTGGACAGCAAACAATACTATAAAACCTGATGTTTGAATATGTTATTGCAGATTTTTGCTGGTATTACTGTCCTGAATTTGTTGTTGTATCACTGCCAGCAGGGAAGAAGGCACAACTGAATCATATCCCTTCACTTCATCAGGCTTACTGGTGAGAACTATACCAATTCTTGAAAAACAAACTGGAGGGAAATGTTATGCAGACTCTTCCCAAAATAATAAAAAAAATGAAATAAAAAATGCTTGTTTAATTTCCATATGCAATCTACAGTTTTAAGACATCTATAGTTTTTTCCATCTAATGGTCAAAATGGAAGCTAAGAGTTACATGAATACATTTTGAATTAACATCACAAGGAAAAGAAAAACATATGATGCACCCCTATTAATTTTTTTCCTTGTGGAAGGTTGCCATGTGTTTCTTTGAAGTGTTGACAGAGCATGTGCTAGTATGTACTGGACCATTTGAACTGCTCATCTAAAAATATGACAACAAAGACATTCCTATAGGAGCTTCTGTCAGCTACTGATGGTATTTTCTTCTAGCAGGCCCTTAATTGCTACATTTCTGTGCTGTACCTTTTGACAGTAATAACACTGCTTAGCTAGAAAGAGGGTGTCCTCCACACGACTTAGCATTCTGAAGTATTTCATTTGTTTAGTCAGGGCAGATCTGCACTAGAAAATTCCACTAAGAACATTTATCCCAGTGTGTAGCTACTGACAATGAGTTTTCCAGAAATACAAGCAACTCTGCCTGTGTTTGCTAATTAGGTAAAATGCCACTGCAGAAGGCTGCGTTAGTACAAAACTTTGTTATTAAGACTTGATTTTTCTCTATCTGCAAATGTTCAAACACTACAGCAATGTCTGTACAGGGTGGCCAGTATTCAGCATAGGATGGTAACTTATCTAAGAGCAGAGGACTTCTGAAAGCAGCTAGAAGGGATACTTTTCCTTCACTGGTAAATTTACATTGCCGAGTGAGTAGCAATAGCAGTTTTAAGTCATGGGAACCCTCTGTCTAAGCTCTAGGAGTAATGCTGGGAAAAGCGGAAGAGCATCTTAGGTTGCTTTGCTTCTCTATTTCCCGTAATACTGTGTTTTCTGCAAGCTAATTAGATTAGCACATTTCCTGTGAACTTCCCTATCTTTTAGCTTAAAAGTTAGAGAAAAACAGAGGAAAAGATGCAGGAGGAAAATCCTAAAATGTTACCAAGAAGATGTACATATATATAGAAACACAAATCTGCTGTAGGACAAATCTGCTTCAGGAATTTCCACCTCAATGGTCAAGTAGTTCCAAGCAATTTATATATACAAAAAGTATTTTCTAAAGCCTACATTACGCAAGGTATACTTCAGATTCCCCCAGTAACAGGATATTGCTAAACTTACAAACAGGCTGCAGCAACTCTGACTGGAATTTTACTCATAAAATTTCTAAATACTCAGGCCTCATCCTTCTTTACTCTTGGGGAAAAGTATCCTACTGTGAGAGAACCAAAGCAGAACAGCCCTTCCTCAATGTGTGTGCACAAGAAAAGTTTTAATGATACTTTCAATTAATAAAGAAAAGTTTTAGTCTCCAAAGAACTTTTGGATTGTGCTAGCAGACAGAAGGAATGTCTACAAAAACATCAGCTTCCTACTATGCAAATAGCAGGTTTGCACTAATTTTTGCTAAGAAACCTAAAGCTTAGTTTTCAAAGCCAGTCTGCTCTGCCCATTGCCACTTTGAGTGATGTGCTTTGGCCTTGAACTGCTAGACCAGAAAACAAAAGCACTAGTTAGTTATGCTTACATTCTATAATTACAGTTTAACTTCCTTCAGAAGACTGAAGGACCTGGTGCAGCACTGCTTGCAACAATGTTCTCCATTTCCATGTAGCTCATGTGAACGTTCAACAACTGCTTTCAATAAATGTCTTTTTCTGTTTGCAGTGTGTTGGTTTAGGCTTGTTATTCTGCTTGCTTTGAAAAAATACGAACTCTTTTTTATTTCTTGCCCATGTTTACTTTTGTTCCTTATTCAAATATGTTTAGAAAAGAAAAAGAAGAGTACTTCAGTGGTGTTTAAGAAAATTGATGCATTACTTTGTCATCCCCAGCTTCTTCCCCACTTCTTTGTTCAGTAAGCTCTAACTGCAGGTCATGTTAAGATGCCTGCAAAGTTTCATGTGAAATTCACATCACGTAGGGTCACCTACTCAGCAAACTCTTCATCACTCTCATTCTGTGGCTTCTTCCTTTGGATGTCATAAGTGTTTCTTTCTGAATTGCAATAAAGTAATTAGATACTTGTTTTGTACAGTGGTCAGCTCTGTACTCCAGCCACTCCAAGTTTTCTGCTGGTCTCTTAGCTCCTGCTAACTTTCTTTTGCATCACTATTCAACTTTCTCACATCTCCATTCATATTCATACTCTGAGGGAAGGAGTGGAGCCTACACTGCTTCTCCTCTCAAAGTCCTTTTCCCGTAATTAAGGTATTTTTCGGCACTGACACTCATGTTGTGAAACTAGGCTAGGTAAGATGGAGGCATCTCCAAAACAACTGGGGATATCAGAGACACCAGTGATTTCTGGGCAAAAACATTCACAGCTGGGGTTTCTTTATGGTATTAGGCAGTCTGTGGTAGAGACCTGTTTGAACTACTGTAGGTAGGGGAGATGCTGCTCAGGGCTTGTACTACTGGAACAAGGCTAGAAAACAGTCTGTACTGTACTACAATTTGTTAATCCTAAACTCAGATTTTCTTAGTAGGACTCAAGACTGAGTATGCTGTAGCAGTAAAACTCTTTAGAAAAGGTCAGACCCTTATTTTGATGAAACTGCATTTACCAAGATGAGCAAGAAATAGTATGCTGTTCTCAGTGGGAAGTGCTGAGGTGAGAAACTGTCTAAGTGTGCTGACTGATTCTTCATCTGTCAGACGCAAAGCAAGTTCAGCAATTATTGTAGCAAATCATCTGAGATTCAGGACTAAAGCTAGAGATGCACTGTTTTTCACAGAACTGAGATGATGGGCTAAATAGTTCCATTGTTTGAGATGAAGGAAATTAAGTTAAAATTCACTTTGTCATATTGCGCTTCAGTAAAGAAAAATATAAAAGGCATTAAGCATTATGCTGTTTTATCTCTTCTTGCATACTGGGTACAATGAAACTTGTGCAGAAATGGAGCCTCCTTTAGTGAGGGATCACTGAAAGTCTGTTTTCTGACTGAATAAAGCAAGAGGACTTTTTTGCAGGACAAGTAACAATAAAGAACAACTTACATTCTGAAGTAATTAATGACAAAGTAAAATATATTTAATGGTCATTAACTGTTAGTAGTTCAGTATTTTTTGTGAGAAAAAATTGGAAATGATCATAATTAATTACCAATACCAGTTCTTTTCAGCATGTATCAACTGTAACCTTTAGAGCAAACAATTTAAATTTGGAACTATTTTGACTTTGTTTACAGTGGAAATAACTGCAGTAAATCTGACACAATAAAAATGCCACTATAGACATATCACCATGCGATTATTGTATGGGTTTTGACTCAGACACGCAAGCTGAAAATTTAAAAATCTGAGTAAGGAAAAATAAGACACAACTGCTGGGTTTGTGGCTGGCAGTCATTACTGTTTAAAGGCATCACCTCAGTCACAAGTGAATACATGTTTTTGCTTTTACACTGATTTACATCATCCAACAGCAGTACTATTGTTTCCCTGCACAGAGAACTTTGGATGGCAGGGATGTTGTAACAATAAAAAAATGGGTACTGACCCCCTCTGAAGGCTCAAAAACATGGGCATGAATAAACAGTTCTATCAGGGGAACTCCAATTTGAAAAACTGTTCGGCCAACTTTTTGTACACCCACCCAGAGTGTTCCACCAACAGAAACCCTAGGGGAAGGGAAGACATTACAGACAGAAGACTTGTGACTGCTACAGCCAAAGAAGCATTCCTCATCACTCCCTTTAAAATGTAAATTATGAAGCACAACCCAAGCCCTGAACAGTTAAGTCAGTGCTTGCATTCTGAACGTTGGAATTTGTATAGTGACAGGTCTAAGAATTAGGTAATATTATTACAGTGACTGTGTTGAAAAACAGTTTAATAGAAAAGATAGAGTTAAGACTAGAGTACTATCTCCAAAGTCAGAGAACAAAACAACAAAACCCAAAACTGTGTGTACACACTTGCAAAATCTATCACAAGACTGAAATCTAATAAAATTTCTTATCATTGACTGCTACCTAAAACTAATGACAATTTTGCTTGGAATCAAACATTAGGCTGTTTATTAAAGCCTGTATTCCTCAGTGTTTTGTGCTCATTAGGTCTGCATGCTGTAGATATTTATCTAAGGAAAGAGGGCGGCAGAAGACATGCCAAGACCTGGAAAAGCCTCTGTTTAATAAACAAAGCTAGTGGGTATTTTCAGCTAATAGGAATAATACAGTTGAGAGCTGTATTAATTTGCACACAGTGGAAAGGAAGCAAAATTGAATGGCTGTCAGAGGCCTGTGCAATAAAAATCCTGCAGGACAAATTAAATCTTCAATTTTAACAGTTGTGTGCATCTACATATAGTAGCATCTCATCAGGATCATTGCCTTTAGTGAGTTTGGCCAAATTTATCTAATTTGAATTCATCAAGAAATTGTAACAAGGGAAAAGGAATAGATTAGTGCTCATTTGGTCTTAGCTATGTGATTATTTAAGACCAAGAAGTGTGAAATGCAAATTCCCATTCTAATACTCATGAAATGCTTAATTACTTTCATGGTAATATATCTGCTGAGTAAGGATATGTTGTTTTTATTAACTTACCAGAGAGAAGGGAAAAATAAGCTCTCACCATGTTGCAAAGTGCTTTTGTTCATCATCATTATCATCAAGGAATTCTTGTTAACAACAAAACCCCCTTATTTAAAAAGTAACTCACCTGAATGAAACTGAACTCCCTCCAGTTTAAGGCACTGTTTACTGAAGGGATGGAAGTTACTGCCAACAAAGCAAGCAATCCAAGACTCATTATTCCAAAGGAGATATACATTTCAATTCGCCACACTTCTTCCTCATTCCAAGAATTTTCAACATTTGCATGAACCTGATGAAAGAGCAGAAAGGAAGCACTTTATTCTACAGAATATTAAAAATATCACAGAAGTTATTTTGCTGAGTAAAAGTGTACAGTCACAGGACAACTATAAAATGGGGTCAAATATTTTAGAGGTTTCCTCATGTCTTGGAGAAAAACAACTATTCCCTTGCTACTGGTATTGGCTCTTGTTAGATTAGATTATGTTAAACATGGAAGCTTAAATGAGTTTTTAAAAGAAAATTTAACATTATATACTATTTATAACAAGTATGTTATAAAACCAGATAAATCTGTGTATTCTTATACACTGTAGAAAAGTAGCTGTGTTCTTCAGACCCTGGAAACTTAAATTCTGTAACACAAATTGGGTGAACCGGCAATTTGTTTTTAGTTTGTAGCATTTAGAAATAGTTTAGCATCATTTCCTGTTTTTGCTTCAGCTCCCTATGCTAAGTCAAAGTTACTTTGCCTATTTCACTGTTGACATCAGATACATCCAAGATTGTTCTCACTGGAGAGCTTTACCAGAAAAAAAGAAATAACTCAGGTCCTTAACAATTGAGAGGCTTGGATATTTAACTAGTTTTCCACTTTCAGGTGAACTATTGTCATATGGCATGGCTTTAAAGAGGCTGACCAAGAGTATTAGCAAGTAAGAATTTTACAATATTATTAAAACCAAGATAATTTCTTGGTATCAGTGGGTCCTTTACTAAGTGTGAACAATTACAGTTTCTTGCTGCCTTTTAATAGTTTTGCTCTTCCCGCCTTTCTCTTCAGTTCAGTTTTTTATGATAGCCCTTTTAGAATTTGTGGATCCAATACCTTCTAATTTGTTTCATTTGATTTGATTTCCTTAGTTTGCTTTTCTTTCTGTTCCATCACATCTGTATTTCCTGCAGATTTTATGTGCTGAATGGCAATGTTGTTTTTCTGGCAATGCTGCTTTTCTGCTGCTTTTCTGCTACTTTAGAAGTGACAATAAGCTACTTCAGTGACAAACAGGAGCATCAGACCCTCTTCTAAAGGATGACAGATTTACCAGAGATTGTTTCAGGGTTATGCAAGACCAGTTGCTCCTGGGAACTGTGAGTCAATCTCTATTGCCTGTAATAGGTGATGTTCACATACTTTTTAATGAATATTTTTACCACTGGTCCAAAAGCATTATAAAGTAACAGCATTTTTATTTTGTAAACACAGATGTATCTGTAAGCATTATTACATTATCTACTCTTATACTTTTCACACTTGTAAATGCACTTACGATATGCATACTTCCCCCATACGTTATGTATACATAGAGAGAAATGTACCTCAGAAGTTCGCTGCTGTTGCTCTTATCATGTCTATCCTGCATTCTCCTTGTGTACATTACTATCAGGGGTTTAAGTAGGACACATCCTTGATTCCTCCTACCACACAAACTTGACTATAACTTGATGCACGAGGTGAGCACAATGCATAAGTTTCTTTTAGTATCCTTGTTTGGCACTAGCTATGCATAAGATAACCCATAACATTCTCCACTGAAAACAGCAGAACAGGTTAAGAAAACAAGCATATTGTATTCATTAGCCGTATGTATACAGCCAAGTCATTTTTGGCTCACTGAACTAGTTTGTCTTACCTGGTGGTATGCCATATTGAGGAACAAGTATCGCTCCGATCTCCTCATAGGTAAGCAGAGGCTGTATGCCACATGCACTGTTGCAAAGAAAAAACTGAGCAGTCCAAGCTGCTTTCGACACTGGAGCCAGTTGTCCAGCCAAAGTGGAAATCGCCTATACTTAGTACCATAGTAAAGCTGATAAGCAGCTGCGATAAGTCCTGATAAATACACTAGAGAAAGTAAAGTGATAGCAACAATTGGTAGAGTCTTGTTCACAATCTCAATAGGGATCTTGTAAAAGTCACTCTGCTGATTTTTCACGTATGGATGGATTACATCTCTGATGAAGGAATAGATGAAGAAAAATGTTGCCAGGCTAATGGCAATCACTACAGGCCCCTTCCAGAGTGTGAATAGTTGCAGAGGTAAGTTTTCAATCTCTCTTGAAGATGACAATGCCCCCAAATCAATAGGAATGAAACTGAGCTGGCGGGCAAGCTCAATAACTTGATGGCGAGCCTGAACATTGTTACTGCATATATAGACCTGTTGGGAAAGTTAAGTGAATCATTTGTAGTCAGAGAGAGACTCAAAGGGAAAAACCCACCCAAACCACAAAAAAGACTTAAGGGCCTCCAGGTCAAGAGAACAGCACTACTGCTGAATTGTATGCTGTTGTCCCAGTTTGTATCACCAAGATGAGAATATAACTACATACAAACCCAGCTAAAGTGAAAATATACACACTAATTTAGCAACAAAGTAGCCAAAATGAAATTGGCTTTTTCTTGACTGCAGGATGCCCTGGTAATCTGTAAATTGAACCCCACTCCCCACTTCCCACAAGATGTCTACAAGATTGTACTGAACTTGAAACAATGGCTACAAGCATTTCAGAAGATCATGGTATCTCAAAAACACAGGAATCTTGAATAATGACCCCAGAATAGCTGTCCCGTAAACAGAATGCAGAGAACTGTGTATTCTCTCCATGTATAACAATTTTAGCTTAATTTCACAGAAAAGACAGAAACTAGCAGCCAAATAACAACTCCTTGTAAAGACCAGTTTATTACATAGTGAAAGAAATGCACTGCTACAAAGTAGTTTAAAGTTCTTTTAAAATTTGCAGTGGGGTATAGTTTGCCCAACACTGTTTGCTGACCATCTGCTTTAGAGCAAACATGATCCCTTTTGACAGAAGTTACTTACTTATAATGCAGTGCTATTCTGAAAGGGGATAAAAACAGTACAGTGAGGATATTTTTTAAATTATGGTAATTCTATATCAGTTGCATTCCTTTTAAAATCTACCTGAAGTGCCAGAAAACTCAATTTAGCCTCCAGCAGTCATATTATACCAGTCATTTCTCACGTGTTTCTCAGAGTCCATAACACCATGAAGGGCTGGGTTCTTGCGTAAACTTAAATCCTTTCTATCACTTCAGCAAAGTATGAAAAACATAAAGCTGCCTTTCCTATATGCAGGATGGATTTGGGGAACACACTGGGAAGGAACTTGAACATGATGTTCCCAAGTAGTCCTGGATCAAATGAATGATCACTTAGAAACATATGTGCCTCCTTCTGCTTCCCCATATTTATGATCTTGGGACATTCTAAAAGCTAGATAAATTCTTTCTTTCACTTTGCCGTTATGCTGAACGAGTGCATTTTTAGAACAGCTGACTCCTAAGCCCTTTGATCAGGACCTCAGATTTCTGTGCATCTCTTCCAATAGCTCATGCCATGTAAATCAATATTGAAATTAAAATACTCTGGGAAAGGCTGCTTCTATCACTGTACAGAGCATAAGGACAAAACTTAATATATTTCCTACAGAAGACACTAAGACCCAACTCCTCTCCTCTGTCTGTAGTCATCTGAAGGTCAACTACGTAGTCTAAGCTAGTATCCACATTTCCTCTGCAATAAACAGGAAACAAGAAACATCCCAGGAAACAATTTGGACCACTTACTCCATATATCTTACAGTGGAATGAACTAGACTCTGAAAGTTTTAGTAGCCAATAAAGCTAAACTAAAGGCCCAGCATTTCAGGCATGCTATGTCAGGCAGGATAAAACTCATGAGTTCTGCCTCTTTCATTCAGTTCCCGTCGTTTTCATCTTATAAAGAAGTTACATTAATACAAATATAACATTTACCTGTCTGCTGGCATCCTTTGGTCCTAACTGCAGTGACCAAGCTGAAACGACATTGAACCCTTTAACAACCAGGGAATCTGGGAAAAGTGATGCCAAATACTCTGCATTGGAGTCCGGATATTGGTCTATTCTTGTATTATTGCTGACATCAATCAGAATTTTACCAGCGAGTAAATGTTTGAGGTCCCACAAAGAGGCGTAATGTTCTCTGTGTATGGCTACAAAAATGATGTTTGTTTTCGCTACTGCATCTTCATGGTGAGTGACATCAACCACATGAGGAAAGAACTCAGCAGCAAGTTTAGGGTTTCTGCTTCCTACAACTATGTGGTACCCGCATCTGATAAGTCTAATTGTCAATGACTTTGCGAAGTCTCCGCTTCCAATGATGCCTATTGTGATCTTACGGGCATCCTTGATGCCATTGGCAACATTTGGTAGAAAAGTTTCATTGAGGTTCTTAGGACTTCCCATCATAGAGATTGATTCCATACTTCCAAGACACCACACCTACAATGACTTCTTCTGGGGAAAAAAAAACAACAAAACAAAACAAGCAACAAAAGGAAAAATTTAGCATAATACAATTTTATGAGACATCAGAATCCATAAACACCTCTGTGAGCAAAATCTGTGGTTCTAAGTTTCATGTTTTATTTTCTCCTTAATAAAGTATATGCAAATCAATTTTGTAAAAGAAGAAACATATAATACTTCAGGCACTTCAATGATACAGAAGGAAATAATACTTTTTCCATCTTCTATTCCTATCTTCCACTGGAATACTGGATAACAAGATAACCCTGTGCTCCTGAAACTAATGGTCAATGGGATAAGATACATGTAAAGAATCCTGGATAATCATGAAAAATATTAGAAGGTAAAGATAGCTGGCCTGTGTCTGGTATAAGGACACTGAGTTCAGGGAAGCTGAACTCCATTAAAATCTTATGCAGGTTGTTATTGGGGTATCCTATATTGGCCAGGACAGAATGGATGCAAAAATCTCAAACCTGCAAATGTCATTGTACCACCATGACAGACATCCATCTGACATACCTGTCCGCCTAGGAGATGGGCTGCCCACAAGCATCCACTGGCAAAGACAACTTGCCAATTTCAATTGCCTTGAAATTTGTCAAGGCCTATTCATAAGATCACCAATGACACTGCTAGGTCAGACTTCTAGGTCTGGCGGTGGATGCATAAGAACTAAATGTTGGGTGCAAAGGTAAAGGATTCAAAGCCAGAGGTCAAAAATGCACTCAATAGAATTTTCCGACTAAGCAGAGAAGATAAATCCTGAAGACAAACACATGGGAGAGCATTCCATGAAGAGCTAATGGCAGGAAAAGAGAGAGGTTTCATGCAATAATAAAAAGGAAGAGAGTTTTAGGATTCAAATTCAGTGCTGTAAGGGAGGCTTTGAAGAACAGATGCTAAGGTTCACAGAAAATTAAAAGAAATACTGCTATAGGTTTGGAGAGCAGAGTTCACAGAACTGCAGTATAGCTGTAACAAAGACAAACAGACATAAAAAAATCAACAAAACATTCCCCAGGAGGGAAGTTATCACCTGAAACCACAGTTAAGACATAAGTGGTTCTGCACTGTAGAACAGGAATGAGTTCTGAAAATGAAGGAAGCAATGAGGAATGGCAGGCTAAGAAGAAAAGAGAAACCACGAGGTTACTCTCTTGGGAGCTATTCCAGCCCATGTGCAAAAGAGGAACTGAATGAACCTTTTCATAAGCCACCATGGATTAGTTACCATCACATCACCAGAAGGTGATGTGATGGTAACTAAGCATAAATAGGGGACTTTATGCAGCCATCAGCTAGGAATACAGTATGTGTAGTGAACAACCTTCCACAATTCAAAGTACCTTTGAGTTTCAGAAGTTGGAGGAAGCTACTTAGAAGAATGAGTGCTTTTCATTTCACCTTTAACTAGAAAGGAAGAACTCACTGAAACTGGACTGAGATTCTACATATGGAAAGCAATAATGACAGTGATCACAAAACCACTATTCTAAGGAAAGATTCTAAAAGTGAACCTTTCTGGCAAAAGCATACCACACAGATTTTCATGCATGCACTGAAAAAACATTGATTTCTTTGTTACCACATGACCTGAAATGTATCTAACACATGACCAAACTACTAGTATTTCCTGAACCATGATGAGCTCACATCCAGGAACATAATAAGAATAGCTGTATTTTGATCACATAAGAGATATATGTCAGCTAGATATGACAGAACACACATGCTTCCACCAGATGACTACAGATGCGCACTTTAGTTCATGCCATGTGATGCGAAGGTGCTGCAAAACTTTGGGATAGAAAGGGAACCACCATGAGGAAATGGGCTACCAGCACCATTTAACCATACTGCAGTCTACTTCCAGTTTTTGTCCAAAGGATCCTTAGGAGAGTGGACATCAAGATTTGAACATGTGGAAGTGCTCTGGTGACTGGCTCTCACAGAAGCAAACATGACAAAGTTTCTCACTGCCTATTATAAGGAAAGTAGAGTTGAGGAACAGAATAACAGACTTCATAAAAAAACCTCAGGGGATAGGCAGACATGACTTCGGCAAGTAATTTAAGAGATGGAAGGGATCAAAGAGCTGGCAGTTACTGAAAGGGACTATATTAAATGCACAATAATAGGCCAGAGAGTGTATAAGACTGTTTTAACTGCATTGGGAGAGCTTTAATAACCTAAAAAAAAATAAAATAAAATCAGACCAAAAAAAAAATAATTAGAAGGTGTGTATGTGCATGGCTAAGTAACATTATAAAGAGACAGTGGTATCACATAGGGATAAAATCAGAACAGCAACAGAACAGAAATGAGTTATAAGCAGTGAATGACATGAAGGGCAACAAGTAAAGGTTCCATAATACAATAAAAGAGAGGATGCAAGGTTTATAACTTCACAGGAAAAGGAATAAACTATAGGTGACACAAAGTAGGACAAAGTGTTAAATGTCATCTTTATTTCAACTCTCAGCAGAAAGGTTAACTGTGAATAGATATTTCCTGAAATTCCATTTACAGGGAGACAGAAGGCGAGGTTAAAGTGGGAAAAGGTAAGTTAAGAGTAAAGGATAAAGGTAAGATAAAGATTCTCAACTCAGCAAATGCTTATGAAATGCTTAAATGCTTAAAACGATGATTGAAGTGACATCTTGAGAACTCAGAGAGGACAAGAGAGACAGACTAGCATGCATGTCTAAAAGAGGGAAGGGGAACTGAGGAAAGCAAAAACTTGTTAGCCTAACTTCAGCCTCTGGAAAAAATTTACTGAGCAAGCAATTTGTAAATAGATGGGAAGCAGATGATAAGAACTATCTAAGGTGGGTTACTCAGTAGCAGACTGCAACAAACCCTTTTTTATTATTTTACAAAATATCTGGCTTCACAGGCACAAAACAGAGTAGTAGTGACATAAATTTGACATCTGCCCTTAGATAAGCTAAGAAAACACGACAGAACTATGTCAGCCAGAAGGTGACACAGATGTGAAAACCAGCTCTTGGAAAAACAACTACTGGAGAAGAAGCCTGAGCGCACGCAGACCCGAGCAGTCACTGAACCTGTGAGTACCCGCTCGGGCGTCACCTTACGGGGCACGGACTGAGGCGAGTCGCTGGCCGGGCGCAGGCCGGTCTCCCCCCGGCAGGCTGGCGGGCGGTAGCGCGGTGCGGGTGTCTACCCCTGAGGAACTCGGCGGGGCCCAGGTCCTGGCCAGCATCTCCAGCTGCAATGACAACATCACCCATGACAAGAGCGGCGACCCCACGGCCCGGCTGCTCGCCGCCCCTCCTCCTCCGTAACCCCGGGCAGAGCCGGGGCAGCGCGGCCAGGCCCGGCCGCCGCGGGGCGAGGGCAGCCCGGCTCCACATCACCGCCAGGCACCCGGCTGCCCCTCACGGCTGCCGCGGGCCGGCCGCACGCAGCCCCGCTGCCCGACCCACTCCGGGTGGAGGGCAGCTGTCACCGCCAGGCCCGCCAGAGCCCGGTCCAGCTGCGGCGGGAGGCCACCGCCACAGCGATGGACAGCGGGGAAAACCCGCGGGGCGACGGTGGACACGGCCGGCCCGAGGGGGCGCCCAGCGGGGATGGAGCCCCTCCTGCCCCGGCCCCAGAGTAGCTCACCTCCACCAGCGCCGCCACCTCTGTGCCTCAGACTCCTGCCCGCAGTGGCGGGCGGGAGGGCGGGTGGGCAGGAAGGCGGTGCCTCTCCTGCCGCTGCGACCCGCCCCCTGCGGCCGCTCCTACGCCGCGGCCAGGCGAGCAGCGGAGCGCTGCCCCTGGGGTTGAGGTGGCTGTGGGGTGGCAGTCCTGGGGGTCTGCTGCATGTGGGAGAAGAGGGCCGACATGGCCGGGCCCGCGGTGCCCTTGAACTCGGCACCCAGTCACTGCGCAACTCCCTCAAGCCTGCGCAGCACCCCCAAACTCGGGGTCCCGCTGGCACAGCGTTGGGACCTCGTCGGTCCCCAGGCGAGCTCACGGCCCCGAATGCATAACGCACCTCTCCTCCTGGGCCCCTGCCCTCATCGGCTACTCTGGCCCAGGTGTGTTCTTCAGCGGGAGCTCTCCTCAGGCCGATTTTTCTTGTTCTATCCTGGCAGAAGGGTGATGCTGGCCCTCAACCAGTACCCGCTGCAGGGCTAGCGGTGAGGAATCATAGTCATGGAATTATAGAATGGTTTGGGTTGGGTTGGAAGCGACCTTCAAAAGTCATCCAGGCCACCCCCCCCTGCAGTGAGCAGGAACATCTTTACCTAGATCAGATTGCCCAGAACCACATCCAGCCTGGCCTTGAATGTCTCCAGGGATGGTGCATCCACCACGTCTCTGGGACAGGGTTTCACCACCCTCAGCATAAAAAATAAATTAATTCCTTGTGGGTGTTGGATGTGCGGGCAGCCCAGGCTGGCTTGCCCTGGTGTAGGTAGCAGGGAGGTCACTCCCCATGGTTGCTGTGTACTCTGTGTACTTGTTATACAAAATTCTCATTATAACAAGTGTTATACAAAATGAGAAGACATACAGGCTTCAGCCGCATAAACACAAAGCTGAAGTCCAAGATCTGAATTCTGTGTTGCTTGGCCAAGGAAATTTCCAGCTGAAAACAAATGGAGAGTTTTCCTGAAAAAGTGTAGCTTCTGATTTACCAAATAATTCCATCTTTCCTTAAGCTGTGCTGTATATGTAACAATTTGTAACCCTCGTCTGTTTGTGTTTTACACATTTAAAACTGACCAACATGCATAATAATGTATGTCTCTCATGCTGCAGCAAAAAAACTAATACATGCACAGATGATTGAAAGGAGCCTTATGATTGCAGCGATACACTGAACATACCTGTTTTGATCCTTTGTGTGTGCATGCTGACTTGTTTCTGTAGTGCTTTAACTGAGGACTTAAGCAGAATAAAGCATATAATTAATTCAAACATTTGCTTCAATACATAATCACAAACAAGCATACCATAGAATTTGAAAAGAGAGCTGAGAAACTTTTCCTGTGTAGTTCAGAGGCCATTTCCCCCCAATTATTAAATAAGTCATTTTCCTGACATTGAAAACATGTATTTCTACAGTATTTTTAAATTTGGTAAACAGATGTGTAGAAAACCTGTTGCCTGATTTCCCAGACTGTGTTTTTGCTCCCATACAGTGAGGACAGGGTTAATACTCCATAGAAGCCAGTGGAAAGGTGAGTCCATTGGCACACTACTCAGAACTGAATCGGCCCTTTCCATGGTGAGAACTATTTCAGCCCTCCAGTTCCTTTTTCTAATGTTCTTCTTTTCTTTGCTATTGATTCAAAAACCATCATCCCAGTCTTATTTTTCTGTAGTCAGTACAATTACAGTAATATGAGCTCAAAAAATTTAGTCCAACCAACAAACATACCAAAAGAAAAAAGCAGAATGTTCTTTTCTTTTCTATTATTTTTGGCTGATTCTCTTTACATACAACTTTATACAACTCTTGTCGCCATAAAAGCATTTATATTAAAATAGGCATATTTAGTCATGAAAGTAACTTATGCACCTCAAAATGATAGTGCATCATGCATAATCAGAGTAGTCACGGTCCTGTAATTTCTAATTTATTTGAATTATAGCCTTAATAAGAAGGCTGTAAATCTGATTGTGATTGCTTTTTAGTGGGCTTTATTTTACATTATTAATCCAGCATAAGTCTTGATCAGAAGACTTAGACCTTTAGGAGATGGTGTATTATAAGATCTGTTCTGACTTTTTAACAGGGAGATGGCTTTTTTCTTACACAGATAGTATATGGTTAATGACACTTGAATTCTGTTGTTTCTTGGTTCTTGTGCAGCTGTTTACCGTGTGCAACCATCACAGGTTCTTTCTTCTAGCCAGCTCTATGCAGGGTGTGCCATCTCTGCCCCTGGTCCTTCATGCCTAGCCCACTTGGTTTCCCACAGATGTCATTCAGTGTCATTTCTCACCTACATTGTTAATTTCTTCTCCAGCTGTTTCTCCTCTCACTCTGTTCAAACCTACCTAGCTTTAGCCTTTCTGCACAGGGATAAATGAGGAAAGTTTCAAGTCATGATCATTTACCAGCCTGTTGAACAGACACCACTAACTTGATATCTAGTACCTTTAAAACTTGACCCTATGTTTTCCTTGGAACTTTTCTTTTTTTTTTTTTCGTTTTGTTTGTTTGTTTCTTTTTGCAGTTTGAATATCCTCTTTTGAAACTGGGACTGAGCTACAGCCTCCCTTCCATTGCTGTGTAACTGACCCGTTCAAGCAGGAGAAATATGAAGAGTTCCATGGCGTTTAGCATGACAGCAAGCATATATACAAACATTTTGTATACTTAAACTTTCTGCAAACTTGGACCATGTCTCATTAGTGAGAGGATAAAACTGATACGGTTCTCTAAAATTATAGAGAGAGATCTATGGGCAACATAATTCTCAGCTATCCTGTTAAAGGGCTATCTTAAACAATCTGTTAAAGAAAGGATATTATTTTCTCTTAGCAGGTGTTTTTTTTTCTTTAGCAAAGTAATTTGCAAAAATCTTTAGCAAAGGGCAGCATTATTATTTCTTCCTTTAAAGGATGGAACATAACAAAAGAGTTTCCAATTGGCAAATGGAAACAGATATTCTGGTTCTTCCTCTTGGCAAGGTGAAAGCAGAGCCCTGGGGATTTCCCTGTGGCAAGAGAGTGAAAACAAACACACAAAAATTTGCTTCCTATCAGGGCAACAAACCCAAATACAATTGTTTCTGGCATACGACCCTCAGCACAGCTAATTTCGTAACTTAGCAGAAAAATACAGTATTTCCCAGCCAGGAACATTCAGGCCAATTCTTTCTTATGGCAGCTGCAATTACACTAAAAATAAAACTTATACCTCTTACCCATTCTTTATAAGAACAAAATGGATCTGAGATATTTAGAGAATTGAAATTTATTTTTACTTTGTTGTTTTCTTAAAAAAAAATATTGTAGTATTTTGTTTCTCTCTGATTTTTTTAATTAATCTGATGTCATTGTTTACTTAAAATATGTTGCTTTTTTAATAAAGACAATCTGAAAAAAAAAGCCCAAAACCCACAAAAAACCCTAACCACTAACTAAACAAAGAACAA